AAGCGGGCAGGAAGGAGGTGCTCCCGCACATCACAATGTTTATCCCACGTTCGGCGAATTGCAAGCTTATGCAGTTTAGGCTTTGCTGTTGGGCACTGGCGGCTAACAGAGCGCGTAAGGGACGGCGTTATATACCTAGGGAGGAGCGAGTATGCCCCTGCTGCGGCACTGATAGCCACATCGAGGATGAGAAACACATTTTGCTGGACTGTCCGGTGTACGACGAAATCAGATCTGATATGGGCTTTCCACGCTTCGAACATATGAAGGACGCTATGAAGTGGGAACCTGGACGCCTGGCAAGAATGCTGGAACGTATATGGTCTCACCGCAACTCTATCGTTCCCTTTGGTCGTTAGTATACTTCATTACTTGTTTCGTTGGAAGTGCGAGGTAGGATGGTGCTTATAGGCGATTTGGCAGCCCTTGAGCCCTCGGCTCGTACTAGGGTGGTTTGCAGGTACGGGGAACGCACCCACGACCATGTAACAACAACAACAACAACAACAAGTTTTACCGACGCAGGCTGCTGCAGCTGGCTAACGAACACGTATGTACGGCTCGATGGCGACAGTACGGCGGGTGATACACAACAGGAGCTGTGCGACAACTCACAGGAGCTGTATCGGCGAGGTTCGTGTTGATGGAGCAGGTGATGGACGCCCCGTGGGAACTGATGGCCGGAACGAAGGTGTAGTTGTAGCCCTGTCAGTGAAGCATACAAATGGAGGCAGGGCAGGTGCGCATGTACGTGCGACACCTTCATCAGTGCACTCCTTCAGTCCTATGTCTTGCATCTTCCAAATCCGCTTGCTCTTTGTTTGGTATCTACTTGCTTCCCATACACACACTATTTCTGATAGAGCCGATTGACACTTCACCACAGATTATAATTTCACCTTGTATAACCAAGGAAACCAATTAAGGCTATAAGCAGACATGAAGCAAAAGGCATTGTGGACCCTTGCTGTCGTCCTTACCCCTGAGCTCGTTGCTTTGTCAATGAGCATGACGGCCGGCGCTTGGATGACGATTGACGAACTCACGCCGGGGACATAGTTCACGGCAAAGCGAAAGTCACCCAACGCGTAATCATATACTCCGCCAACAAGGCCACCGATGCGGCAACAGCTGGTAGCGTANATCTCTCCAG